ATTATTATTATTATTTATTATTTATTATTATTATTATTATTATTATTATTATTATTGTAATGAAAAGTTAACAAAAATAGTTTAATGAAAGTAAATCATTTTTTTTTTAATTTGTTTATTCACCGACAAAATTTACTCGTCCTCCCCGAGGGGGGGGGCTATGTTTCCCCGATGGGTGGCTATAGTCCCCACCCCCTTTCTGGCGCCACCCCTGCAATCAGGACCATTCTGACGTAATATTAACGGAACTTAAATTCGGAAACATTTAAGCTTTTATAAAAATAATTGATTTCTGTGGAGATTCGAATTTCTATAAACTTACGAATGAATTTCTTGTATAACGAGTCGTAGCTGATGTTCTACTATTCTCGTTATTCCATGGTCAATGCAGATTCCAAAGTTTTCAACCGGTAGGTCTATGAGTCGCTCAATGTGGTCTCTGTGTATAGGTTTTCTTATCTTAGACCGTAGTCCGGTCACTTCGTCAAAAAGTTTATTGTCTTCCTTTTTGGTTTCCATATATATGTTGAAACCATCATCAGTGAGAGGACCGATTTTTCCTCCGAGCAATGCATCTTGGAATTTTGCGTCTGAGGATACAAACACTTTGTGTCCTTGGTCCTGCATACTGATAACCCAGTCATTTAGGTATCGTCTGCCCCCTTTCTTTAAGTTGGCTTCGAGGTTCGCCCTTTCATCACCAAAGTAAAAAATTGCTATTCTCCAAAAATCGTATGGGCTGTGGAAACCTTTCCCTTTAAGGCCCTGTTCATTATTGACGTTTGTTATGCCCAACACTGTTGTCTGTCGTCTCCCCATTATCCGTGCGTCTCCGTAAAGTCTCCACCACTCTTCGCCATCCACATAGTGGTACACATGCATTAATGCCTCATGTAAAGCAAACGGATCTACGTATAAGCCCCCTGGTAGAGATGTTGGCATTAAAATCTTTTCAAATTCTGCCTTATATTTTTTTTTCAAAGCATAAACTTTCTTTTCCGAGGCCAGAATTCTAGGAATGCGCTTTCTTAGCCATCTAAATGTCTCAACAACATTGGCGGTGTCTTCAAGAAACAGTAAGTCATGCTCATCCACATGATACAACTGCAATCTTTCCCTACAATATAGACAATATAAATACACATGACATTAACAAATATACGATTACTTTCGTTCATTGTAAACATTTTTTTACTTCCTAAACTTTCAAATCATGACAAATATTTTAAACACTTGGGCATTACGACCGTATTCATACATGTTTTGGTGGAGGGTCATTCACGTTTTATTGATGAACACTCCATTGCGACAAAAATGAATAAATAAAAAAAATCAAATGTCAGTGGGTCTAAAATAGTTCAATTCAATAATACATTTACATGCAGTTTACGGGCAGTGTTTTAAAGCCATATAATTAATGTAATTGTGATTAACGATTTAAATGCAACCCCCTGATATCCCAGGAAACCAGTAATAATATATTTTTTAACCAGGAAGATATAATACTTTGCATTTGCAGTTGTTATTACACCTTTTCATCAAATCCAGGCGCGGCCTGGAAAAGTTCAATGCTAATGTTAGTGGAGTAAACACAACTAATATCTCAACATACAAACACTCTTTTGCTAACACGTTCTCATTCAACGGGAACTTGACAATGGTTAACAATGAAAAATTAGTTTTGGACTGGAGTTATTGGCGCTGTGGTGTATTTATGTTATTGAGTTATTTTATCATTTCTACTAGTACTGTATGAACGCATCGCGAGTGATGTGTTCAAATTGACAATTATTAATTGTGAAGATTTGTATTTGAGAGGAGTCATGCGCTCCCGCTGACAGTAGGCCTTATTCATCAGAAATTTGTGATGAAGCTGAGTGCGAGGCTGGGTGATTGTATGTCAAGTCCGGGGTCAGGGCCCAACCAGGTAGATCGTCGGCTTTCCTAGACACTTCAAATGTATTGGCGGAAGTACAGGCAAGAAGGTATGAAGAAAGTTTGTGAAAAAACAGCAATTTTTATTTCTGTATGTTAATTGATCCAAGATATCTACTAACATTGGCAAATTCAAAGGGGCAGGGGGGCCTACCTAGCCAGGGCCTCCCCTAAATTTTGATCTCAAAAATTGGAAATAGGCCTATACATTCAGGATGTCAGCACCAGGTAGTAAAGTATTAGCAAAGGTCAGAAGGGGCATTTTAGACTGGCTTGAGATGTATAGGTAGGCTTACACTACCGTTGGTATTCGGCATGTCCATTGTAGTCCTCAGATTGTAGTAGATACGTGTACCTTACATTTGTTTTTAAAGTTGGGTTTTTACACTATAATACCTCCATGGTTTTTACAATACATTATTACTTAGCTACGCCTAACTCAATATCTTTCTTCATCTTCCAGAACACTTTGAACTCCAGCAACTGAATGCTTTCAACATTAACAGCAATTAACAGGCTTTACTGCAAAATGAAAGATGGGAAGAGGCCAAGTCTTGCATAAACGGAAGCTATTGATGTTCAGAAGATAAACAGAAAGCAGATAATAATGAATACAGTTAAGAAGATCAGAACAATACACTACAGTTGTATTGAAATTGAAAATGTAACATGAAATTGTTGGTTTTTAGGAATGTAGCAGGGTTAGTATCAGGTTTTACTTTTCAGGACTGGTACTGTATATATTTCTTCTTTTTTTTAACTAATAAGTTTATTTTAAAATTTAATTATTGTATATTACTGCTGATTAAGTATTGTTTTATAGAGTTGGATTAAAAATAAAAAACTAAGAATCACACCAGTCTATATATCACTTCAAAAAATTTTAAATTCCCAATGAATTTTTAATAACATTCTAATTAGTGTAAAAAAAACCAAATTATTTTGATTGTGATTTTTTTTTTCAACTGGCTTGCAAGTAACAGGGTTGTTTTCTTTTATTTATAAATTTAATTTAAAATTTAATTATTGTATATTACTGCTGATTAAGTATTGTTTTATAGAAATTTAGATTTTAAAAAAAATCCATGAAACACACCAGTCTAACTATCATTGCCAATTTTTCAAATTCCCAATGAATTTTTAATAACATTCTAATCAGTGTAAAAAAAAACAAATTATTTTGATTGTGATTTTTTTTTTCAACTGGCTTGCAAGTAACAGGGTTGTCTACTTTACATTACTGGTACTGTATATTTTCTTTTATTTATAAATTTAATTTAAAATTTAATTATTGTATATTACTGCTGATTAATTGTTTTATAGAAATTTAGATTTAAAAAACAATCCATGAAACACACCAGTCTAACTATCATTGCCATTTTTTTCAAATTCCCAATGAATTTTTAATAACATTCTAATTAGTGTAAAAAAAAACCAAATTATTTTGATTGTGATTTTTTTTTCAACTGGCTTGCAAGAACAGGGTTGTCTACCTCATATTACTGGTACTGTATATTTTCTTTTATTTGTAAATTTAATTTAAAATTTAATTATTGTATATTACTGCTAATTAATTTTTTTATAGAAATTTAGATTTAAAAAACAATCCATGAAACACACCAGTCTAACTATCATTGCCAATTTTTCAAATTCCCAATGAATTTTTAATAACATTCTAATTAGTGTAAAAAAAACCAAAGTATTTTGATTGTGATTTTTTTTTCAACTTGCTTGCAAGAACAGGGTTGTCTACCTCATATTACTGGTACTGTATATTTTCTTTTATTTATAAATTTAATTTAAAATTTAATTATTGTATATTACTGCTGATTAAGTATTGTTTTATATAATTAATTGTTTTATAGAAATTTAGATTTAAAAAACAATCCATGAAACACACCAGTCTAACTATCATTGCCAATTTTTCAAATTCCCAATGAATTTTTAATAACATTCTAATTAGTGTAAAAAAAAACAAATTATTTTGATTGTGATTTTTTTTTTCAACTGGCTTGCAAGTAACAGGGTTGTCTACTTTACATTACTGGTACTGTATATTTTCTTTTATTTATAAATTTAATTTAAAATTTAATTATTGTATATTACTGCTAATTAAGTATTGTTTTATAGAAATTTAGATTTAAAAAACAATCCATGAAACACACCAGTCTAACTATCATTGCCATTTTTTTTAAGTTCCCAATAAATTTTTAATAACATTCTAATTAGTGTAAAAAACAAATTATTTTGATTGTGATTTATATTTAGAAAAAACGGGTTTGAATTTAATAGTATTCAGTACTTTTCAATACTGTATAGTGTATTGTTTAGGTGTCATAATCGACATATAATTTTATTTAACATACTGGAGCCATTTCGACCCCATATATTTATGCTCCTCAACTCCTCATAAATATATAGGGTCGAAATGGCTCCAGCTATGTTAAATAAAAATTATAATATTTAAATGGTTCAGGGCAAATTGCAATTATTGTATTACAGTAATGTATCTAGATTTTCAACAGATAGCAGCTTGCATTTGGAGTGATTTTAGATGCAGTACTATACTAGGTAACCAGTTGTATTCACTTATGTACATATTTTTATTTTTTGTAAATTGAAATTCCCAATAAAATTTTAATAACATTCTAATTAGAGTAGTGTAAAATAACAAATTTTTTAAATTCTGATTTTTATTTAAAAATGCTTTTAAAATTTACAGAGTTACTATTCAGTAGTGTAGGCCTACTTTATTTTTACGATGAATTCTATAAATTAATTATTGTATATTATTGTGATTAAGTATTTCTTTAAATTTTAATTGTTAAATATAATAATATTTAAATATCAGGTTTGAAATTAACAGGGTTTACTTTTCAGTGTATTTTTTACATGATTTTTTATATGCAGTCAATATGTTTACATGTCATAATCGACATATAATTTTTATTTTAATATAACTGGAGCTATTTGGACCCTATATTATGTATTCTTCAACTCCTCATAAATATATAGGGTCGAAATGGTATAAAAATTATATCTACAGGGCTCGGGTAAAATTGCAATTACAGTAATGTATCTAGATTTTCGACAGATAGCAGCTTGAATTTGGAGTGATTTTTGATGCAGTATAGTAGGTAACTAGTTGAAGTATTCATTTATTTACTTTTATTTTATTTTTTTTTTTAACATGCTATTTTTGTAAAGTAACATTTGTTATTTATTTTTGGTGATTTAAATATTTGGGTTTTAAATTAACATTATGTTTACTTGTCAGTGTTTATTTTTGTTTTTACTCTTAAATTTTAAAATTTAATTATTATATTATAGTGATTAAATATTCTTTTATGGAAAGTAGGATTAAAATGACTAGGCCTATATCAAGCTATACGCCTAGGTCGTATTGTCAAAAAATGCAATGCAACTTGTTTTTCTTTTAATTTGACTTTAATTGTTATGATTTAATCTGTGTTATTTTTATTATTATTATTTGTAAATACTGCGTGTGATAGGTAAATTTACACAGTACTGTTTATAAATATTGGACTGAAAAAAAAAAATAAACAACTCATAAAGCTGTGTTTTAAACTTTTGTTCAGATAATGTTTTTCCCGCCGTGCATGAGAGTTGCAACAAAAAAAAAGTCTGTACAGTACTGTGCCCCGTAGGGTATATAACAAGGTCATCGCATTAGTGTTAATTGTTTTCATCTTTTCACTATAAAGAGTTTAAGGCGCGTAAAGTTTCGCGCGTAAACATTTTGATAGTGGAAAAGGTTATTAATACTGCATTATTTCAGAGATAATGTTTTACTCAACTCATCTGTGCCTCTGAATAAAATATAATTTTAAGACAAAAAATGATTATATCTTACCTCACAATTTCGTCAAACAAGGATTCTGTTGCATGTCTTGATGATTTTCCTTTTTTCAGTACATTTATTAAATCTTCGGCAGATAGTGTACCGTCCCATTCATCGTTTTTAGAGGGCCGCGAAATATCCCTGAGGAAAAAATAATTCAAATTTTCTCAAAAACTTTTGACCAAATATTTGCTAGAGGTCTATTACCGAAAGTGCCTGTTTTTTGCTTCTTAACATGTATGACTACACGGTAGATCTGCCTACGTAATTATTGAGGGTGTGGAATAAAATTGATTTGGATGTATGACATGAATAAATCGACCCATTAAAGTACTTACCAAGCAAGTGCTTCAAGTAGGTCGGATTTGTCTCCGCCATGTATGGTTGCTGCAATCTCTTTTATTTTTTTCCTTTGTTCGGAAATTCGCTGCGAAATTCTGTTTCCGACCTGCATCAATGTTTGTGGCATTGGCTGATTGTTGTCGTGTTGAACGCGTCTAATCATTGAACCTGTTGATATTCTAGCCTTTTTAGCGCGCTCATCCACATCATTGATAACAGCAGCAATTGGTTCGTTTATAAGAGATGCCATGCACCTTTCTCTGACAAATTCCCGCAATGTGTATAATTTCAATTTATATTCATCGATGTCGTCATTATAGTTTAGGATAGCGTCTTCTTTGTCCTGTAGATGCCCACCACTCAAAAGTAAAACTACAAAGTACGATAAACTCAAATGGGTGCGACGTGCTGCTTGGTTTGGTTGTATATTGTGACGAACTACCATTCCGTTTTCATTTACAAATTTATCAAACCTTGTCCATCCCTTATTCTTTAGCCCGGCATACATGCCCAGAAATTTCATGGAATCAGCTACTATTACATAATGATGCCCATCTCTTTCAAGTCCAGGTATATCATAAGGCCATCCTAATTGTCTCGTCCCTCGATACATCTTTTCGAGCAATCCGCTGAATGTTTTTCATACTGAAATTATAAAATTGTTGCTCCGAAATATTTTTGCCTTGTCTATCCTGAATGGTTTAATTCAGTTATAACATCATGATACTTCTGATGTAATGTGAACGCCTAAAATGCTACACTATTTTATATCTTCCGCTACACTCCCTGGCAATACTGTGACCAATTAGAAGGATTAGTTAGGTGTTACGTAACCAGGCCAAGATAACTTTCTTGTACGCAGTGTGGCATTGTATTTTGTACAGTATACCGAAACCTATGTGGACATTTTACGCGAATCGGCCCATTCGGTTATTCAAAGAAAAGTAATACAGATGAATTAACTTGTAATGCCGATTATCATTCTGGAAATATGCTCAGCGGTTGTATCAAGAGTGAAGACTGACTTGAGTAAAAACATATTACGATGGTAAAAACAATGGAAATGATGAGTCGGGATTTTAGATTTTCATTTAAAAATATATAAGTTTTGTTAGTTGGACTTCATTATATTTCATTCCATTTATTTCGTCTCCAATATGACATAAACAACTCGGTAAAAGTAAAAACAACACAGACAGGATTCCCAAAAGCGAACTACGGGTACAGTAAATCATGACAAACTATCGAATGGGTCTCCATACACAGAATAATAACAGAGGAAACATCGAAAAATATGATAAATTGTGTTTATTTCAGAATCTCCCGGGATGATTAGAAATGTATCCAAGGGGGTGCACCCGGGTGACCGTTGTATTTTTGGATTTGGTAGTCTTACCTTAGGTCATCCGAAATTTAAAAGGATAGGCCTAATAAATATCGATATGTCCTAAAATTATGATTTATATTGGTTCATATTTATTATCTACGAAATTGAGCCCTGTATTTCGACTAATTTCACATAGATGACGGCTTGACTTCCCATCGATTTTGAGTAAGTGCACTTTATGAGATGGGTTCTCATGATTCTCCTGAGCCCCCTGTCTATCACTATAACAACTAAACCCCCTAGGCGCAGAAACAGGAATCTATTTTTTAGCGGAGTTTTTCAAATGGGTAGCGCAGTCTTGTAAATGTGTAGCACAGTCTTACAAATGGGTAGCACGGACTTTCAAATGCATAGGCGTAGATCCCGGGGGGTGGGGATATATTCCTCCAATATTTGACACGGTAGGGGGTTGGGTCCATTGTATCATCCCCATATTTCGACTATGTATGGGATAAAATGGAGCTTTACACAATTCCAAAGACAGTCACAGAAATAATTTGCACTGTCTTATGCGCTTACAAAGATAAAAATTAGCATAATGTATAAAATGTTGATAACAAAATTATTTTATCTGGTACCAATCTAAGCTCTTCCTTCTTTAGATGTTAGATGTGCTTGCAAAGAGAGCCACATTTCACACTGAAGGGTGTGTACGACATCAGTAATGTTATGTAAATTCCAAGAATGTTTAAGGTTATATCGGTTGATGAAGAATTTATTGATTAGGCCTATAATAGCAAATTGCATCAATTTATTTTGCAAAGACAAGTTTTCCAGCTTCAGAGGGGGGCACATCCCCTGTCCGCACAAGGGCACACATTAGCGCTAACACCAGGCGCGTAACAGGGATCTTGGGTCCGAGTGGGTATTTATTTTCCCGGTTAGTAATTTACCATACCCACCCCACTCCCCATATAGAAAACAATACGACATAGGGCTTACCGTATCTTATTTATAATATAGGCCACACACGTGTGTTTGAAACTAAATATAAGCATTTTCATCATGGTTTTATTTATTAGAAACATATTCTTTCACCATCAATGGGCCTCAGCATTGAGGCCCTTCTTTTAGGTTAAAACGATCTATCTTAAATTTGTCTTGAGTTTGGGACTATTATGTGTTTAAATAACTTAAAAGGATAAACCTAAAAAGCCCTAAAAAATGCGCGCTAAGCGCGCAAAATATTTTGTGTTTTTAATTCTAATTTCGTCGGAATTGATGAAAACTCCCTAAAATGTGCAATTTAGAGGAAATTGGCCTACCGTTAAAAGAAATGCGCGTAAAGAATTTGAGAATTTTAAGGACTTTCAGAGGATGCATTTGTCAAGTGGTGGGGAAAGATTTTCCAAAGATGGATATTTTCCCCTTGTCCCCCGGTGTTTTTAATTTTAATTTCGTTGGAATTGATCAAAACTCCCTAAAATGTGCAAATTTTTAGAGGAAATTTGCCCATGTTAACAAGAAATGCGCGCGAAATTTGAGGTTTTTAGGCACTTTCAAGGGATGAAAAGGGCATTTATAAAGGAGTGGGGAAGATTTTTCAAAGATAGATATTTTCCCCTTGTCCCCCAGTGGTTACGCCATCGGGCAGCATAGATCAAAGGAATTATGACAGTTTTTTTTGAAGTGGAGAAGGGGTTGCAGGGTGTTGTGAGTCTGGTCATTATGATATCTTCCTTCTTATATTATTCATGTCTTTATTTTTCTCTGCTTTCTTTCTTTCCTTTTCTTTTCCTTTTCTTTCTCTTTCCCTCCCTCTCCCTTCTTTCTTTTCTCTTATTACCCAGCTCGGTACGACGGCTTGGTCAGCCCGGTAAAAACCGTCAGGATAGGGGCAGTCCCCCCCGCGCCTGTTATGACACTGGCTAAAACGCCAATCATTCCCCCCACCCCCCAATGAAAAATACATTTCTACGCCACTGTTCAAATGGGTAGCACAGTTTTTCAAAATAGGTATCATAGTTTTTTAAATGGGGAGCGCAGTTTTTCAAATGGGTAGCGCAGTTTTTCAAATGGGTACAGTGGCGCCGAGAGGCCGGGGCTTACGGGGCAAGAGCCCAGGGGCCAGGCCCAACAGGGGCCCAGTCTGCTAGTCTATTTTTTTTTATATTTAAAAAAAAGTCTTATTCCCTTCACGATGAAACTAACCAGGGATATTTTGCTTTAATATTACTAAATAGACTAGCCATAATATCGTAGAACTTCGAAGAAAAACATCTTGTCAACTTCAGTGATTTGTGGCAGTGACAGTTGTCTCTCCCTTGTTGGGGCCGGGCAGCAAATCTGCCCCGGACCCTATGGTCGTTCTCGGCGGCCCTGAATGGGTAGCGCAGTCTTGTAAATGGGTAGCACAGACAGTTTTTCAAAATAGGTATCGCAGTTTTTTGTAAATGGGTAGCACAGTCTTACAAATGGGCAGCGCTGTTTTTTGTAAATGGATAGCACAGTCTTACAAATGGGTAGCACAGACTTTTATATGGGTAGCACAGTTGGTATCGCAGTTTTTCAAATGGGTAGCACAGTTTTTCAAAATAGGTAGGCCTATCGCATTTTTTTTGTAAATGGATAGCACAGTCTTACAAATGGGTAGCACAGACTTTCAAATGGGTAGCACAGTTGGTATCGCAGTTTTTCAAATGGGTAACTCAGTCTTGTAAATTGATAGCACAGTCAAAAATGGTTAGCACAGACTTTGCGTAGTACAGTTTTCCAAAATAGGTATCGCAGTTTCTTGTAAATGGGTAGCACAGTCTTACAAATGGGTAGCACATACTTTCAGATGGGTAGCACAGTTCTACAAAATATGTCTCACCGTTTTTCAAATGGTATCGCAGTTTTTCAAATGGGTAGCGCAGTCTTGTAAATGGAAAGCCTCAGTCTTTCAAATGGGTAGCACAGACATTCAAATGGATAGCACACTTTTTCAAATGGGCATCGCAGTTTTTCAAATGGAAAGCGCATCATTTAAAATGGATAGCACATAGTTTTTCAAAGGTAGTACACAGTCTTGCAAAGGGGTAGCGTAGACTTTCAAATGGATAGCACATTTTTTTTTTCAAATGCGCTTCGCAGTTTTAGCGCAGTTTTTTAAATGGAAAGCGCAGACTTTCAAATGCATAGCACAGTTTTTCAAAGGTAGGACAGTCTTGCAAATGTGTAGCACAGAATTTCATATGGATAGCACAGGGATAATATGACAGACAGAGAGAGAGCACATAGCCCCTAGGTAGCCGAACCCTTATTAAGGGGCACCATCTTGACCAAAAAAGTGTCCCCTTAATAGGGGTGTCACCTGCATATGGCTATCACTATTTAGGTATCTCCTTAATAGGGAGTTTTCTTTAAAATCTCTCAGGCAAATGTCTTAGTTTTGGTGATACCATTGTGGTATATGATGGGTAGAGTAGGGAAACTATACTTCAGAATAATATGATATTGATTAAAATATAGGCCTAAAACTAATAAATGATGAACTGATTAATAGAAAACCTTGTATAAAACGTTTAAAAAAAACCCGTTTATTTCGTGCTCTCCAGCACCTACTTAATAGGGACAGCATTTTTACATATATATGTATTTATTACAAATTAAAATTCGTTTGATGACTTTTCTTTTGTGATTTTTCCCCGAAGGTGCTACCACTGTCTAAAATTGCTGTTTGAATAACAGTATGATATCACCATAAGACCGATTCGTTACGTTACGAAATGTTCGATTGTGTTATTCTCATAGAGTGTTGGATGAGTACTTTCGTAAAATAAATGTGAGACAGTCTCGATTACATACATTGCTATAAATTTCAGGAACATAGAGAATGAAAGTTTTTGCACCCACCCCTCACAATTTTCTGCATTGAAGAGCAAATATTTTTTTAAGTGTAATAACCATTTGTATATAGATTATAGCTACATTTTTGTCGTTTTTGGGGATTGTGCCCCCTCACTAATAGAGGTTGAACCAATCATCTGACACACTCCACATAAGATTAAGGGTGTCCCCGCAACAAGGTTTGGCCGTAGTGTTAAAAGATATATTTCCCCTCATTTCGCAGAAAAGTGTTCTCTTAATATTAATAACTGAATTTCGTTTTGAAGTTGTCGATAAGCCGGGTAAGTTAGCTGCAGTGTTAGCATCTGAGCATTTGTACCGGTATATGGAATACATAATAATAATAATAATAATAATAATAATATGAAGGGTCTAATAATAAACCAGTGCAATTTGAAGCAAAATGAATTCTTGTCGTAAAATTACTGGTTAAAGTATTTACGTGATTCTATTGCATCAATTAATTATTAAAGTATGTTGGATAAAATGAAGTAGTATTTTTTCCGCTTCAGATAGTTTATGTTCATTTACCAGGAAACTGGTTAATAATAGAAAGTTCTTAAATTTATGTTGATATAAAATTGATACGAATTAACCATCATAGGAAACATGTATTCTTGCTTTCTAATTTTGCTTTCAATTATATAGCAGCACTTGCTTGAACTATGGATCACCCAAGAAAGCCTGAAATGGACTTTTTTTTTTCATGCAATGACACGTTACGTGTACTGGGACATTTGTGATTTTAATTTACATGAAAACTTTTCAATTTCAACATTTTTTCTCTCTTTCTATTCCACTTTATTAAATTAAATTTGGTATTTGAAAACTGATTTTTAGTTTGATATAAATCAGAGAATAATCCTGTCATTGAGTTACTGTAGTCCTACGGTATGATTTATACCGCGGATTTTTCCAAAGACAAGTATCAATTGACGTATCGTTAACTTTAGTAATTGTATTATAGACTATGTAAGAAAGTATATACATACTCAAAGCATGCTCAAAGCATGCTCAAAGCAATCAAATACACGCCATCGTGTATTATGTAACATCTCGTAATTAAAGAGATGTCGAGTAACGCTAAGTACTGATTTCAACTTTGCGTACATTGGCCGATGAGAGTGACGCTACGTCACAGATTTCCGGTCACTGCTCCCTTACCAGAGATGGCAACGTCACGATTTCAACTACGCGTTTATTGGTTTATTGGTCAATGAGCTTTTTGACAAACACTCCCAATCACCTTGAAAGCAACAGTGCTAAATGGGTTTTTAATAGGAACACCATGGTAACGCACAGATCAGAATTTCGCCGCTTACCATAATCTAACGTTAGTTTATCGAGGGCGGGTCGAGCTAATGGTTTCAGCCTATCTCACTTTGCCTAACCCTAACCCTAACTCTAACTCTAACCCTAACCCTAACCCTAACCCTAACTCTAACCCTAACACTAACCCTAACCCTAACCCTAACC